TTTTCTGATGAAGGGTCTAGGCCCGAAACGTCAGCCTTTCTGCTCCTATGATGCTGCTTTGCCTGCTGTGTTCATCCAGCTCTGCGCTTTGTTGTCTCGGATTCTCCAGCATCTGCAGTTCCTGCTATCTCTGATTCAATAGTACCTCTGGACTTATCTTTTCTCACATTTTACATTTTATTTGTACCGCAGCCTTATCTGCTGCTAGTCCTGGTTCCCTCTGCTTTCACTTTTCTATCTTGCATTTCTACCTTTGTTTCTCTCACTCGTGTCCATGCACAGGTTCCTGCTCCCTTATAACTCTCATTTAAACCCTCCCTCATAGTACTAGCGAATGCCCCTGCAAGGTTATTGGTCCCAGTCCTGCCGGGATACAATATATCCAGCTTGTACACATCTCTTTTACCCCAGAAATAGTCTCAATGCCTCAAGAAATTAAATCCCTCCTTCCTATTGCATCCCACCAACCACATATTCAAACAGTCTATTCTATTATTTCTGCTCTCACTAGTACGTGACAGTGGGAGTAATTCTGAGATTACTACCTTTAAGTCTTGCTTTTTAATTTAGTCTCTACCTCTCTAAATTCTGCAAACGGGATCTCATCCCTCTTTTTAACCTACGTCTTGCTACCAACATGGACTACAATCTCTGGCTCTTCTCCTTTCTCTTTCAGAATGACCTGGCGGAGTGCAGAGGCATCCTTGACCCGTAGAAACTTAGTAAACTGGAGCAGAAATAGATCATTTGGCCCTTTGGGCATGCACTGCCATTCAATATGATCATGGCTGATCATCCAACTCAGTACTTTGTTCTCACTCTCTCCCCATATCCTTATTGCTGAAGTGATTACTCCTTCTTGAAAACATTCAATGTTTTGCCATCATTCGCTTTCTATGGTAGAGAATTTCACAAGCTCGCTACTCTTGTGAGTGAAAAAATCTCGTTATCTCAGTTCTAAATCACCTATCGTGTAACATTATACCGTGGCCCCTGTTTATTAACTCCCCAGTCATCAGTAACTCTTTTCCTTCGTTTATCCTGTCTAGTCGTGTTAGAATTTCATAGGGTTCTATGAAATTCCTGCCTTATTCTTCTTAACTTAGCATCCTAACCGATCTGGCCTCTCTAACGGATGGCAGAGCAGGGATCCGAGCCTGGGGCTCATCCACTCCTGTCAGCTTTCTTTCTCTTTTTTTCCTTTCTTTTTACTTTCGCTGTTTTCCTTTTCTCTTAAAGTCTGGAGAGTGGCGAGTGAAGGAGGCAGCATCTGGCAGCAGCAACGCCAGGACAAGCCAGACACAGCTCCACCCAGCCTAGGGTCTCCCGACGAGCAGGGATTCGGTCCTGGACTGATTCTCCAAGCCTGGACTTGCTCCAGGTCTGCAGCTAGGTGCAGGCACATGAAGAAGTGGCTGTCTAGTCCCGACGTGGTTTCATCTTTGTGTGGAGATCTATTTCATCTTCGGCTTTCAGGTATTCTGGCAGGCGGTCTCGGCCTGCCTGGCGATCTTCAGTGGATAGTTCAGGTCCAGTATTCCAGTGGCCCGGGGCAGCAGTCTTATCCCTGCATGGCATTCTTGTTCCAGCTGCATCTTCAGGGTATTTCATCATTCCTTAAATTGGCTTTCCCAGAGCTCAGGAGCCTTTAACTGAACTTGGTCTTAATTTTACTTCCTTTTTATAATGTATGACTTCTGTTATTAATATAGGCATCCTAGTAGGGCGACTTATAAAATCTTTCACTGTATTTTACATGTAAAAGTACATGTGACAATAAACTTCTGTTGTAGTTATAGATCAGCCCATTCAACCCAGGAATCAGGCTGGTAAATCTTTATTGTGCTCCATCCAATGCTAGAACATTGATTTCAGATAAAGAGACCAAAACTGCACACAGTTCTCCAGGTGTGGTCTCACCATGCCCTATACAACTGCAGCAAGACATCCATGCTATGAAGGTCAACATACCATTTGCCTCTTCACCTCCTTCTTCAGCTGCATGCTTACTTTCAGTGACTGGTGTACAAGGACACCCTGGTCAGTTGCACCTCTCCCTTTCCCAATCAATTGTTATTCAGATAAGTACTGGTCTTCTGGTTTTTGCTCCCAAAGTAGATAACCTCGCATTTATCCACATTATATTTCATCTGCCTTGCTACGTGACATCAGGGAGGCAAAATATCATCCCGGTCTCCCCTATTCCTCTTACGTTGGGAGACATTATTTGTACCTTTGATCATGGCTGTTTCACAGTGTGACACTAAGCAGTTGATTACTCTTCTTAAAGTTTGCTCTCATGAATCTATATCCTTTCTCCCTACACCTCCTGAGGATTTTTACATTGAAATCCAATTAAATGGAAGTTGCTGGAGTGTGTGTATCTATCTGACATAGGAAATTAGATGAAGCAGAAGTTAATTTCACAGACAGAGTTAAGTCTTTCCAATGTCAATGTCAGAGTGGATGAAATAATCAGCACTGTGAAGCTACGTTGGGATAGAAAGGAACGAAGATTCTCAATTTGTATTCAATTTATGCATAGCTGAAACTTAACAAAAATTAATCAGTACAAGTAGTGATTCCAAGGTAAGAAATGCTGCACTGAGTAACGTGTATATTTCAAGATGAGCCCATCTGTACAAAAGGATTCAATATCTAAGTTAATGGAAATCTTGTAGTTTTGCATTTCGAATAAATTGTGACACATACTTCTGCATTGTTTTGTAGCTCTCTTCAAACATGAAACAGAAATGCTATACACATGCGCCATACCTCTGTTTTCACTTTGTTATCACCAAAACAGAGGTGCTGTAAGTAGGCTGCTGCATTTGCTTGAACCGATGGAAACTGGTGCTGGAGCATATGAATCACTTCTGGTAATTCTGGGTCACGCCAAGCAAATTCCCTGATTTAAAAATTGAAATGAGAAAATCCCACATTAGGCCACAAGACATAGGTGTAGGAGGTCATTTAACCCATCGAGTCTGCTCCAATATTCAAAGAAATCATAGCTAGTCTATTAACCCTCAAATCCATTTTCCTGCCTTTCCTCCATAACCTTTGGTTCCCTTACTGATTAAAAATGTACACCATAATTGTTAACCTACAGCATAAACTGGCACATCAAACTTTAGAAAATCTCATTGCAAAGCATTTCCATATTTTGTATTGAAAGAAATGCCTCGGGTATAATCAAACCATCATTCCAGTAAATGCAGTCGCATCTCCCCTTCTTCAGTAATATATTAGGAATTTTTTTAAAAAGTTAATGTTTTAGTTTCTATTTTGCAATAAGTTTTCCACAGTCATTAATAATTATCTAATTCTCAGAGCCATATTATGCTTACGTACAGAATACCTCAGTTCTGCGGCATTCAAGCATCCCTTATCTAATGTGAAAACTGGATAATTTTAATTGGCTCTGGGGCATAACAGTTTTTGTCCTGCATCACAAGAAGGTCCTCGTGTGACTCTTCCCAGCATAAAAGTCAGGTACTGCATAATTAAAGGTGAAATTACTTCAGTAATTTGCAGATGTCTGCTTAATTTCTCAGCATTCATTTTATTGTATTTCTGATTTAGGCCTTGCACTTTTCAGCAAATTTACATGCTAGATTTCTGCCTCTAAAAATACTTCTGTTTCTTTTCTAGTTGATCACACTCACATGAAAGCTCAGTAACAGTTGACACCTACTTCTTGTTAACATTTTTCAAAACAAAATGCACTGAATTGCTGCAGGGTTTCCTGGACTTGTCTCCAGAATTTATAACAGACAACTAAGTGTACTCCTCTGGTTTGTTCTTCAAATTTCTAACAGAGTGACATAGCTTCAGCAGACCTGATCTACACAATGATTTACAGGTACTCTGTTTTCTCATGGTACTTTGTGGTAGTTCAATAATCTAGCGTTTTCCCTCAAAAGTATGCTTTTCTAATGAGGAGTACTTCTTGCTGGACTCTTTGGTCTCGTACGAATGTATCAAATTTAGAATTCTTTAACACTTTTTGCATTGTGGGTTAGGTCAGGATGACAGGTTGCATAAACTTGCTTTACATTCCTTTACTTAGCTGATAATTTTTTCACTCGCTTATGGGATGCGAGCGTCGCTAGCTAGCCAGCATTTATTGCCCATCCCTAGTTGCTCTTGAAGTGGTGATGATGAACTGCCTTCTTAAATCACTGCAGTCCATGTGCTGCAAGTAGACTCGCGATGCCTTTATATGGAGATGCCGGTGGTGGACTAGGGTGGACAAAGTCAGAACTCACATGACACCAGGTTATAGTCCAACAGGTTTATTTGAAATCACACAAGCTTTCGGAGCACAGCCACTTCATCACATGCGGTGAGACAGCAGAGCACACAGACCAAGAGTTTATAGGGGGAGAGATCAAGGGCAGAGACATCAAAAAAAAAATCGTACCACTAGTTTGAGTGTCAGGTGATTAGTCTCTGCAGGCGACCAAGAGTGTTAGACGACGAGTAAGGTGTCAGCTTCTGAATAACCAGCGAAGGGATGACCTATAATCTGATTAAGTGAGGCAGAGACATAATTACAAAAAATTAAGAATAAGGTGGTGCTGGAGACAAATTGAATAATTGCTATTGCATGCCAAATTCAAAACTGCACAAACTAATTAAGGTAGAGAGATTATAACAATTTATCAAGGTGACGCTGTCAAACCAGGACAGTAAGGAAAATTTTACAGATACAGAAAAGTATGGTGGGGTCACCTGTAGAGTGACATGAACCCAAGATCACGGTTGAGGCAACCTCCATGGGTCAGAACTTGGCTATCAGTCTCTGCTCGGCAATTCTGTGTTGTTGTGTATTTCAAAGTCTGCATTGGAGGACAATTTCCTGAAGATCAGAGGCTGAATGCCCTTGACTGCTGAAGTGTTCCCCGACTGGGAGGCAACACTCCTGTCTGGCGATTGTTGTGCGGTGTCCATTCATCTGTTGTTGTAGTGTCTGCATAGTTTCGCCAATATACCATGCCTCAGGGCATCCTTGCCTGCAGGGTATGAGATAGACAACATTGGCTGAGTCATATGAGCATCTGCCATGTATGTGGTGGGTGGTGTTCCCATGTGTGATGGTCTGATATGTCTTGCAGAGGTTGCCATGGCAGGGTTGTGTGGTGTTGTCGTCGATGTTGTCCTGAAGACTGGGTAGTTTGCTGCAAACAATGGTCTGTTTTAGGTTTGATGGTTATTTGAAGGCAAGAAGTGGAGGCGTAGGGAAGATCTTAGCAAGATTCTCAGTGTCATCGATGACATGTTGAAGGCTGCAAAGATCATGACGTAGTTTCTCTGGTCTGGGAAAGTACCAGACGATGAAGGGTACTCTATCGGACGTGTCCTGTGTCCATCTTCTGAGGAGGTCATTGTGTTTTTGCGCGGTGGTCTGTAGGAACTGGCAATCGATGATTTGAGCTTCTTATCTCATTCTTATGGGGGCATCCTTCAAAACCTCCAGGCATCTGTCACGTTCCTCCCAATTTGAGCAGATCCTGTGTATGGACAGGGCTTGTCCGTAGGTGATGGCTCCTTTAATATCTTTAGGATGGAAGGGAGGGAAGTGCAGCATCGTGAGGTTATCCATGGGCTTGCGATAGAATGAGGTTACTGAGGTGTCTGTCCTTAATGGAGATGCGTGTCCAAGAATGAGACTGATTCTGAAGTGTAGGCCATGGTAAGTCCGATGGTTAGACCTTCAGAGTATCCTATGCACTCTCATCCCGCGTACTTCTTGTGTAGGAGACTTATACTGCCTTCCAAAGATATACACAGCCAACATACCTGGGACGACCCATCGTATCAGGCAATGGGACCCTGTGCGAGAACCTCTCTGGCTATGTTGAGGGCATCTCGAAACCCATTGCAGAAGGAAAACCCAGCTTCTGTCATGACACTGCAGATTTCTTACAGAAACTCATCATCCACATTCTTCGTCACAATGGACATTTCAGCACTCTGCACCAGCATCTTCCACAACGACGGCATCACGGCAACAGCCTCAGTACTTGATACCGCCGTCCTACAACTCATCCGCTTCATCCTCGAGCACAATGTCTTCACTTTCAACAACCAATTCTTCATCCAGACACATGGAACAGCCAACAGAACCACATTTGCACCCCAATATGCCAACATTTTCATGCACAATTTCGAGCAGAACTTCTCTGCTGCACAGGACCGCTGACCAACACTGCACACCAGATACACTGATGACATTTTCTTTCTTTGGACTCTTGGCGAGGAATCACTGAAACAACTACATAGCGACAACAAGTTTCTTCCCATCAGACTTACCATGGACAACTACTCAGAATCAGTCTCATTCTTGGACACGCATCTCCATCAAGGACAGACACCTCAGTACCTCACTCTACCGCCAGCCCACGGATAACCTCATGATGCTGCACTTCTCTAGCTTCCACCTTAAACATATTAAAGAAGCCATCACCTACGGACAAGCCCTACACATACACAGGATCTGCTCGGATTAGGTGGATCATGACGGATACCTGAAGGTTTTGAAGGATGCCCTTATAAGAGCGGGATACGATACTCAACTCATTGATCACAAGTTCCGATGTGCCACCGCAAAAGCCGCAATGACTTTCTCAGAAGGTGGACACAGGACACGACCGATAGAGTAACTTTCATCATCCAGTACTTCCCCAGACTGGATAAACTACGTCATGTCTTCACAGTCTTCAACATGTCATCGATGATGAGCATCTCGTCAAAATCTTCCTTATGCATCCAGTTCTCAATTTCAAAACAATCACCAAACCTTAAACAGACTATTGCTTGCAGCAAACTACCAGCCTTCAGGACAACATCGACCACAACACCACACAACCCTGCCTTGGTAACCTCTACAGGACATGTTCGATCATCAACATGGATACTACCATCACATGTGGAAACACCACCCACCATGTATATATGTCAGATACTCATGAGACTTGGCCAATGTTGTCTATCTCAAAATGCTGCAGGCAAGGATCCCCTGAGGCATGGTATATTGGTGAAACCATGCAGATGCTATGACAATGGATGGATGGACACCATGCAACAATCGCTGACATGGAGTGTTCCCTCCCAGTCGGGGAACAATTCAGTGGTCAAGGGCATTCAGCCTCCACTCTTCAGGTAAGTATCCTCCAATGCGGACTTTAAGATATACAACCACGCAGAATTGCCAAGCAGAGACTGATAGCCAAATTCTGTACTCATGAAGACAGCCTCAACCGAGATCTTGGGTTCGTGTCACGCTGCAGGTGACCCCATCATACTGTTCTGTATCTGTAAAATATTCCTTACTGTCCTGTTTTGACAGTATCACCTTGATAAATTGTTATAATCTAATTTAATTGTTTGTACAGTTTTGAATTTGGCATGCAATTCCACTCATTTAGTTTGTCTCCAGCACCACCTAATTTTTAATTTTTTGTAATTAGGTCTCTACTTCACTTCATCAGATTATAGGTTATCCCTTCACTGGTTATTCAGATGCTGACACCTTACTCACTATCTAACACTCTTGGTCACCTGCAGAGACTAATCACCTGACACTCACATCAGTTATGATTTTTTTTGATCTCTCTGCCTATGAACTCTGGGTCTGTGCGCTCTGCTGTCTCACTGCACCTGACAAAAGGGCTGTGCTCTGACAGCTTGCGAGATTTCAAATAAACCTGTTGGGTTACAACCTAGTGTTGTGTGACTTCTGACTTTGTTCACAATGCCCTGAGGAAGGGAGGGAATTCTAGGATTTTGATCCAGTGACAGTGAGGAAATGGCAATTTATTTCCAAATCAGGATGATGCGTGGTTCGGAGGGGAACTTGCAGGTGGTGGTGTTCCCATTTATCTGCTGCCCTAGTCCTTCTGGCCGGAAGTGGCTGTGTGTTTGGAAGGTGCTGTCTAAGGATCGATGATGAATTTTTGCAGTGCATCTTGTCGTTAGTACACACGGCTGTTACTGAGTGTCAGTGGTGGAGGGAGTAGATGCTTGTGGATGTGGTGCCAATCAAGCAACCTGCTTTGTTCTGGATGGTGTCAAGCTTCCGGAGTGTTGTTGGAGCTGCACCCAGCGAGGCAAGTGGGGAGTTTTTCCATCGCAATTCTGACTTGTACCTTGTAGATGGTGAACAACAGGCTTTGGGCAGTCAGGTGGTGAGTTAGTATTTATGATTCTTCAGATACTGAAGCAGCGTATTCAAATGCCAGATGACCTGGACAATATGCACACTTGTTCTGACAAGTGGCAAGTAAAATTTGTGCCATATATAGGCCAGGCAATGATTATATCCAATAACAGAATTTAATCTCCACCCTTGACATTCAATGGCATTTCCTTTCCTAATTCTTCCACTGTCAACATCTGGGGAGTTACCAATGACTAGAATCTCACTGCACCCACTATATAAATACAGTAGCGATAAAAACAAGTCAGAAGCTAGGAATATTGCATTGACTAATTCACCTTCTGCCTTCCCAAAGTGTGACAACCAATTAAAAGGCATGTCAGGAGTGTGATGAATTACCTCCAACTTGCCTTGCTGAGTGCAGCTCCAAAAATACTTGGGAAGCTTGACACAATCCAGGATAAAGCAGGCTGCTTGATTGGCACCACACCCACAAACATCCACCCTCTCCACCACTGATGCTCAGTTGCAACAAGATGCACTGCAGAAATTCTCCAACAATCCTTAGACAGCACCTTCCAAACAAACAACCAAAGGACTATAATTTGCGAACTTTTTAAAGATACTTTTTATTCTTATTCTGGACTTTTGAGTAGTTCCAGTACTTTTTAAAACTTTGAATTCCAATGCTAGACTATTTTTTGTTACTCTTTCAATTCTGCAAAAAACACTTGAAGTATCACTTGCCCTACTAAAGCCAGCATAAAAGCAACTTCGGTTAGCAGGGTCTCACAAAACCCCAAATACACTTACTTTGGATCTTTCTGGATACTGTCAATTGATGGAGATCCTGTTGTAGTCTCATCTGCTGGAATGTTGTAAATCTTAGAGAGATTTACTAAGTACCCTGTACCTAGATGGTGCCAAAGCAGCGACATTACAAGCTTTTCACTGCACTCATTCAAGTGCATGTGACAATAATGGCTATTCTATTTTATTCTAACCACTCCCCTCTAGAAGGATGTGGGTAGCACATAAATGGGGCAGCCACCACCTGTAAGCTCCCTTCCAAACAACTCACCATCCTGATTTGGAAAAATTCAAAATGGTGTACTTTCCTCCTTAACAGCATTATGACTCTCCTTACAACACATGGACTGCAGCGGTTCAAAGTAGCAGCTCACCACCACTTTCACCAGAGCAATTAGGGATAGGCAATAAAAATTCTGGCCAGTCAGCATTACCCATGTCTCACAAACGAATTCAAAAAACAACCCAGTCATCATCCCTCATTTGACTGAACTTTTTATTTTCTTTATTCATTAATGAGGGCATCGCTGGCTAGGCAGCATTTATTGCCCATCCCTAATTGCCCAGAGGGCAGTTGAGAGTCAACCACATTGCTGTGGGTCTGGAGTCACACGTAGGCCAGACCAGATAAGGATGGCAGTTTCCTTCCTTGAAGGACATTAGTGAACCAGATGGGTTTTTTCTGACAATTGATGATGTATTCACGGTCATCATTAGATTCTTAATTCCAGATATTTTACTGAATTCAAATTCCACCATCTGCTGTGGTGGGATTCGAATCCAGGTCCCCAGAATGTTATCTGGGTCTCAGGATTAACAGTCCAGCGATAGTACCACTAGGCCATTGCCTCTCTCTTTAATCTATTTTGATTCCACCTCACATTGGCCTTTGCTATGCCTGTCTTTTCTTGGCTAATAAAATGAACATCCACTTTTCCGACCCTTTCCCAATCCAGTCCCGGCCTCTTTTTCCATTACACTGATGACTGTTAATTGCTTCTTCTTGCGCCTGTTTGACCAAAAATGGCAACTATTTATTGAATGAAATGTGATAGGTCAAATGGACTTCCTCAATTGTTTATATCTTTGGGCACTTGCAGTGGCTTGAATTTACATCAGGTGTAATAGGAGGCTAGAGAGACTTACTAATCAATCTTCTTGTTCACTTGCCTACTAAAGCCAGCATAAAAGCAACTTCGGTTAGCAGGGTCTCACAAAACCCTAAATACACTTACCTTGGATCCTTCTGGATACTGTCAATTGATGGAGATCTTGTTGTAGTCTCATCTGCTGGAATGTTGTATTGATGTCTGGAATAGTTAGATTCGGATGGTCGATATGGAACTCGGTATGGATCACCGTAATTACCCACTGAATTTAGAGCAAAATTATTTCTTTGGTAAGTGACAGCGCTACGTTGACTGGCTGATCTCTGCAGGTTTCCAATAGCTAAAAATAAAACAAAAGTACATCTCAAACCTACATAATCCTTTGGAAATACTCCTGAAATATTGCAATGACAGACTTTTAAGCATTTTTTCTATTAAATAGATCCAAGCAACGAGATTGACTAATTTACTCAGAACAAAGTAAACAGGATGCAGCTAATCAACAGAACCAGGTTCAACATTATGACAAGGTACAGCAGGAGATTTATTATTTTAACTGGTGAAAACAATTTTATTTGGATTCCAGAAATTAATATACTTGGAAATCTACAGAATGCCAAATGCAATTACTATCACACATATTTCATAGGTTTCTAATTTCACATCCAATTCATTCATTAATGTACACAGAAGCAGTTTTTCTTTTTCCCATTTACGTTATCCATGTTGGTTAAATTCAACTGCAATTTAAATCTTATTGTTAGTGTTTACATCACAACTCTCGATTCAACTTAATTAAACCAGAGATTTTGATTATTATCCTTAAAAACTTAAATTGAATATTTTCCAATAATCATATCTGCCCTCTACTTCTGATTTGCCTACTTAGAACATGCTAAATTTAAATGGTCTACACACAAGTTATCAGCTTTGAGACACAGGCATTCAGCTAGGATCAGACAAACTCAGACTCATACAGCACAGAAACAGACCCCTTGGTCCAACCAGTCCATGCCGAACATAATTTCAAACTAAACCAGTCCCACCTGCCTGCTCCTGCCCCATATCCCTCCAAATCTTTCCTATTCATGTACTTATTCAAATGTCTTTTAAACGGTGCAATGGTACCCACATTCACCACTTCCTCAGAAAGTTAATTCCACACGCGAACAACTCTGTTTAAAAAATTTGCCTCATATCATTTTAAATCTCTCTCTTCTCACCTTAAAAATGTGTCCCCTAGTCTTGAAACTCTCCATCCTAGGGAAAGGACAACAACCATTAACTCTATCTATATCTTTCATTATGCTACAAACTTCTGTCAGGTTGCCTCTCAACCTCCTACACCAGTGAAAAAAAAAGTCTCAGCCTATCCAGCCTTTCTTTATAACTCAAGCCTTCCATACTCTGCAACATCCTAGTAAATCTCTTCTGAACCCTCCCCAGCTTGATAATATTCTTCTTATAACTGGGTGACCAGAACTGGACACAGTACTCCAGAAGAGGCCTCACCAATGTCCTGTACAACATCACCATGACTTCCCAACTCCTATACTCAAAAGGCCTGAGCAATGAAGGCAAGTGTGCCAGATGCCTTTTTAACCGCCTTGTCTATATGTGAAGCAAACTTCAAAGAATTGTCTACCTGAACCCCTTGATCCCTCTGTTCTACAACACCACCCAAGGCCCTACCATTAATTGTATAAGCCCTACCCTTGTTTGTTGTACCAAAATGCAATACCTCGCATTCATCCCAATTGAACTCCATCTGCCATTTTTCACCCATTGATCCATTTGTTCAAGATCCCTTCGTAATCTTAGAAAACCTTCTTCACTGTCTACTATGCCATCCAATTTTGGTGTTGTCTGCAAACTTACTAACCATGCCTTCTATATTCTCATCCAAATCATTTATATAAATGACAAACAAAAAAGAGGACCCAACACCGATCCCTATGGAACACCGCTGGTCACAGGCCTCCAGTCTGAAAAGCAACCCTCCACCATTACTGTCTCCTGCTGTTAAGCCAATTACGTATCCAATTGACAAGCTCACCCTGAATTCCGTGAGCCCTAACTTTACTAATTAGTCTACCGCGTGGAACCTTGTCAAAGGCTTTACTAAAATCCAAATAAACAACATCTACTGCTCTGCTCTCAAATGTTTTTGAATTTTTTGATTAAGTTACCAATCAAATTTGAGAGACATGATTTTCTTCAAACAAAACCATACTGACTATCCCAAATCAATTTTTGCCTTTCTAAATGTCCATTACTCCTATCTATCTTTTATAATCACCTCCAACAATTTACGCATAACCGAAGTCAGATTCACAGGTCTATAGTTCCCCGGTTTCTCCTTATGACCTTTCTTAAAGGTACAACCTTAGCCACCCTCCAGTCATCAGGCACCTCACTCATAGTTATAAGTGATATTTCTGCAACGGGTCTTGTAATTTCCTCCCTTACTTCCCACAATGTTCTAATGTATATTAGATCAGGGCCTAGACATTTATCTATCTTTATACTCTTTAAGACCTCCTGAACCTCCTCTTGTGTAATGTGAACTGCTTTTAAAACATCAAAGTTTATTTCTCTGCATTCTCTAAACTCCATTTCTTTCTCCACAGTAAAGACTAATGCGAAATATTCATTTAGCATCTCTCCCATCACCTGGGGTTAAACACAAAATACGCCCTCCTTGATCTTTAAGAGGCCCTACCCGCTCTCTTGTTATCCTCTTGCTTTTAGATATTTAGAGAATTTCTTTGGATTATCCTTAACCTTATTTGCCAATGCTATCTGATATGCCCTCTTTGCCTTCCTGATTTCTCTCTTAAGAATGCCATTACATGCTTTAAGAGATTCAATCAAACCAAGTTGGCTATATCTAAAATAAGATTCTCTTTTACTCTTGACGAGAACCTCAATATCTTTATTCATCCATTGTTCCTTAGTCTTACCAGCCTTACCCTTCACTCGAACAGGAACAAAATGCCTCAGAACTCTGTTCATCATGCTCTTGAACGCCTCCGTCTCGTCAGGTGTCCTTTTACCTGCAAACAGTCTACTCCAATAAACTTTTGAAAGTTCTTGTCTCATACCATTAAAATTTGCCTTACTCCAATTAAAAGCTTTAACTTTTATGGAGGGCTTATCCTTTTCCATAACCATTTTGAAACTAATAGAATTATGATCACGAGACCCAAAGTATTCCTCCACTTTTACTTCACTTACCTACTCTGCTTTATTGCCCAGAAGAAGATTTAATTTTGCTCCTTCTCTATTAGGAGCATCCATATATTGTAAAAAAAAATAAATTTTTGAACATATTTGACAAATTCTTCACCATCCAAATCTTTAACACTATGGTAGCCCCAGTCAATATTTGGAAAATTAAAATCCCCCATTGTTACAATCTTATTATGCTTATATATATCTGAGATCTCCCTACATATTTGATTCTCAATCTGAGTACTATTTCAAACAAATATCATAATTTCACATGGCCGTAGGTTTTCCTGAAGAAAGTTTCAGAGTTTATATTCAAATACATGCTTTCTAATTAAAACAAAATATAAACCACATTCAGCAGCCAATTTCAACAAATAAAGGCAAGCAGAATTGCTACATATAAATATCTTTTGGAGGTTCCCTCTGTTCTTAGTACATAATTCAAGACATCATGAGTCACAGGCAGTCAGTATCACTGCATAGGAGAGTGGAAGAAGGAGGGAGGACCCATACGGAGCACTGGACAGACTGGTGGTGGACTTGAGCGAGACTCAGGATACTTAAGTAGGAGTAAAGGTAAAATGAAAGCAAGCGTCTATGTTCTATGCAGTTAAGATATGGCTGGTGTGCTCAGGCCTGTGATTTTCACATACTGCACTGTATAATAAATTCTAGATACTCTTGGTAGTTTGGATGACCACATTGTGCAGGAGTTGCCTCCAGCTGGAGACACTCGCCCTCTGGGCTTTGGAGCTTGAACTGCAGCTGGGGACACTATGGTGCATTCATGAAACTGAGAGGTTCATGAATGACATGCTTCAGGATCTGGTTAACCTGCAGTTTAAGAAAATGCAGGCAGAGGGGATGGGTGACTGCCAGACAAAATAAGGAGATCAGGTCGGTGGCAAGGAAATCCACAAATGAATCCCACTTGCAAAGCATTTATCAGCCTTGGAAAATGGACAGAGCAACAGTTCCTCTGTAGAGGCCAGGCAGAACCAAGGCTAGGGGACGGAGGGTGGTCCAGCTGTGTAGGGGTTGGGGAAGGGGGAGAAAAAAGTGTGGAAGGGCAAAAGTAGTAGGGGAGTAGGCAGGCACTTCTGCAGCCATAAACATGACTCCAGATGGTATGTTGCCTCCCAGGTGCCAGGGCCAAGAATGTCTCAGAACTATTATGGTGCATTCTGAAGGGGGAAGGTGAACAGTCAGACATTGTGGTCTGTGTTGGGACCAGTAACTTTGGAAGGAAATGAAATGCAGACTTTAGACAGCCAGATAGGAAACTAAAAAGCAGGACTTTACAGATAATAATCTCCAGAATACTTCCAGTGCTACCTTGTAGACAGCATAAGGATAAAGCAGATGAATCTGTGGCTGGTGAGATGGTGCAGGAAGGTGGGCTTTAGATTCCCGAGGCATTGGGGCAGTTTCTGGGTGAAGTGGGAATTGCACTCATTGATTGTATTACATCTAAACAGGAATAGGACACGTTCTCGTGGGTAGGTTTACTTATGTTGATGGAGTGGATTTAAAATGGATTGTCAGGGAGATGAGATCCTAACGTAGTTCAGAGGGAGGAAAGCTGCATTGGAATTAGAAGTTAAAACGTGAGTAATTGAGCTTGGAAGGCAGAGAAAACATAGGCTTGATAAGAAAGAATTGAGGTTAGCAAGGTTAATGGAATATATTTTAATGCAAGGAATCTGAAGAATAAGATACACAAGCAAATGAAGGGAAGGTAATAGCCTAGTGGTATTATCACTAGACTATTAATCCAGAAATTAAGCTAATGTTTTGAGGACCTACGTTCAAATCCTGCCACAGCAGTTGGTAGAATTTTAATTTAATAATTTGGCAGACTCAATCCAGTTCTTCTGCATATGGGTCAATATGGGTATTTCTACTTTGGTACAATTGCTAAGGTTCACTGATAAGCTTAGACCAGCAAAGATTGTAATAGCATATCAGCTGCACCATCCCTAGCATAATGACTTAGGAATGCAGCCTCTGGCACTACAGATGCAATCTTCTCAAATGAGAGAGAAATAGTGGGAGAGTTTATTCCATAAAGTAGTGCAGTTACTCGCTTGAACACATAAGTGACTATGCAATATTCTAACCCAGAACTCTGCCATTTTTTGAAGATTCAAACCACCAACTGTCTTTCTGATTCCATTCTGGATTCTCTTTCTTTCTAATTCTTCCACTTTATAATCTTTTTCCTGGTCACGATACACATGTTCATTATCCTCTTTGCAAAACAAGACTAAGAATATTCTGTTTCGGAACTGTAAATGAAACAGAGGCAATGGTGTTGCGAAGAAATTCATTAACACTCGAAGAAGTCTATTTCCATGCCTATCACTAATTCTTAGAACCTTTTAAGCTGGATCTAGGACAAAATCAAAAAGACAACCCAGATCCAATTGGCTTCATATTCACAAAGTTGTTGACAAGGTGGCACATCAGAAATAAATGATTAAGAATTCACCGAATAGAGTGTGATATGCAATGTTGGACAGACAATTAGCTTAAAAATATGCTCCTGTTGCTTTGATGCAATTTAGGTACTGCACAATAGTCTTACTTCACAACTAGTTGCAGAATTTTATTTTAATGAACAGTGATAAACAGAAAGTCATAATTTAGAAAAGTTTTGAGGTATCCAAAGCATCAGTCTTGGAACCTTAAATACTTTAAGATAAATAACTAAATTAGATAAAATATTCTAAGTTATGTCTCCTAGATTACAGATAATAAAAAAGGCAATGAAAACGAGAGAACAAATTTGGTTTTATTAGAAAATGGACTAACAGGTGATTGTTGCAGTTCCGTGCAGATATGAAACTGGCTGGTAATTAAAAGAAATATTATTTGAAGTGGAAAGTATGCTGATTAGGAGTTTAGAGATTTGATGTCTTAAGCCTTGGCTCAGCAATAGCACAACAATACCAAAGGGTCTGAGTAATAGGGTAGATCCAGTCCAGCACTTGAAAACAGTATTAAGGTCAGCCTAGATTCTAAGAGTATACTACATTGTCCAAGGTTGAGATCTCAAACTGGGGGTAGGGAAGAAAAGTTGAAGCCGGCATGCAATGGTCAACAATGGAGACACTTAACTGAACAATTATTGCAGATCAATTGACTACATGAAGATAAATTATTTCTTGCTTCCACTCAGTTCTTCGGAGATAGCAAGAACTGCAGATGCTGGAGTTAGAGTCGACACAGCGTGGAGCTGGAGGAACACAGCAGGTCAGGCAGCATCAGAAGAGTACGAGAGTTGAGGTTTCGGGCTTAGACCCTTCATCAGGGCCTGATGAAGGGTCTGGGCCCAAAATGTCGACTCCCCTACTCCCCTGATGCTGCCTGACCTGCTGTGTTCCTCCAGCTCCACACTGTATTGACTTCCACACAGTCTTTGATTGATTTCAAAAAAACTGGGAAAACCCTAAAACACATTAGTAACAAATCAGTTTGCAAATCAAACATTTAAAAATCTATTCTAGATTAGTTTACACTAAATCTACCATTTTATCTCTAACCTTTTTAAAAAAAAATCCACTTCCTGTTTGACACATTCAAACAGATGACCCTAAGTTAAATTAGTTTTCTTCAGTAGTATGGTCTTTGTCATTATCTCAAGAGAAAACTTACTCGACAAAACCATTACCTGAGCCTGTACGAAACACTGCAGTTTGATTGCCATGAAGAAATTCCACACCTGCATGACTGGGACTGCGATAAACCGGGCTTTGGAGTGTTCTTCCTTCATAGATTGGAGTAATATGCAAATCAGGAGACATGGTAGAACGCAACTCATGTCCCAGCTGACTGTGTTGACTGGCATATGAACTACGCAATCCTGAAAAACAGAATCCATGGGTGAGTGATTCAAAGCTGACTTGCACTGGGTATAAACAATTATTTAAAAATAAAGATGCTTTGATACGCCAATTGATCAGTATTTATTTCCACTGGGCATAAACAACAGTTAAAAAATAAAAGATGCTCTGGAAGTACTAAAATACTGGAAACAGTACTAAATACATAGGAAGTTAAAGTGTGGTAAGAATGTGGAACTCTCCCACAAGGACTGGATGAGTGAATAGTATTGCATTTAAGGAAAAATTAGATTAATTCAGATTGAGTTTGAGGGAGGAAGGACAACAAGAACATACTAAAAGGTTTAATGAAGGTATGAGGACTTTTGCTGTGTAGTTTTAAGCTTGATTCCATGTGTTTGGGTTCAAGACAGACTGATTGAGGAGACAGCATGGCTTGGGCTTCTTTATAATATGATTTGTTACATATGGAGACAAAATACTACAGTAGACAGTATTCAGATATATACTGGGCCTTAATCCTACATCATTGCATTATAGAATAACAATTTCATAAACTAAAACAGAAACTGTTGGAGAAACTGAGCAGGTCTTGCAGCACATGGAGAGAAAGCAGAGTCAACATTTCGGATGCAGTGAGCCTTCTTCAGAACGGATTCCAGCTAGGAAAGGGTTGGTAGACTAGGCAATCACTTTCCAGAACACCTATGTTCTGTCCACAAAAATGACCCAGCTTTCGGTTGCCTGCCACTTCAACACCAACATGTCCCCTGTCCAATATCTCTGCCTCAGGCTTGCTACAGTGCTCCAAAGGTCAGTGCAAGCTGGAAGAACTGTATCTCATCACTGTTTTGTTTTTGCTTCAGATTTCCAGAATCTGCAGTTCTCTGGTTATTTTATTTCATAAGCTAGACAGCTTAATGCTTGTCTACTTCACTTACTTCTCTGCACGTTTCTAGCATTCACTTGACCAGATTACAGGCTACTGCCTAGCTCTCCAACTGTTTTTTCTCTTTCCCTTTCTTATTAGGTGGGAGGCAATGGCCTAGTGGTATTAACACTGGACTGTTAACATAGAGGCCCAGATAATGTTCTGGGGACCCGGGTTCAAATTCTGCCACGGCAGACGGTGGAATTTGAATTCAATAAAATATCTGGAAAGAATCTAATGTTGACCATGAATCCATTGTCGTTGTGTGGAAAAACCCATCTGGTTCACTAATGTCGTTTAGGGAAGGAAACTGGCATCCTTACCGGGTCTGGATGGGACTCCAGATCCACAGCAATGTGGTTGACTGAGCTGCCTTCTGGGCAATTAGGGATGGGCAATAAATGCAGTCCAGTCAGCAACACCCTCATCCCTTGAATGAATAAAGAAAAAAAATTTAACTCCATTCACTCTGCCATTTAGTGTCCAGTGAGGAGTTGTTCTGTGACCTCATTGCAAGTTTGCTTCAAGGTCCTAAAACTTTTACACAGGGGACAGTGATGAGTGTGGACATTAACCAGTTGAATGATGATGAATGATTTTATTGTCACATGTATTTTATAGTGAGAATAACAATAAAATACAGTGAAAAACTTTTGCATTGTCGACATGATCCAGTGCCATTTTGAGTAGCTTTAAGAATAAGAAATTGATTAAAGACAGTCCATCACTCCTGAGCCAGCTCATCAATGATGGAATCCCTCCTCTGGGCGTAATCTATTTCAATGCAGTGAACATATTAAGAATGAGATACAAGTTGATGCCATAGTATGTAGAAGTCAAGAAACTACTTACACTTTATGTACTTTGCAATCAATTATTTAGATTTACATTCCACTTAAATTCTGAGCTTGGAAACATGGAACAGAAGTATATACTCAATGGAAAGATAAATAATATCCTAAAAATGATTACTAGATTACAAGTCAAATACCTTCTTTACCTTCCTAATTTAATGGATAAACATTTAAGTCTGGAGAAATGTCAGGATTTGTATGCATTCAGACGTGATCATTTTCATACACAGACACTTGCTAAACATATGGACAACTTTGCTCATTGAATCAGGTTTCTGCATGCTCATTTGAGAGCTTTTTCCCCCAAATACAACACCTTCTACTCACTAAATAAAATCTGGAGAGAGGATTTGAAAGTAATAGAGGAAAGAAAAAGAAAAAAAATCATCTGCAGGTAGGAGTGAAGTTAATGAAGGAAGAATCAGAAAAATCAACATTATGTACGAGATGGGGAAGAATGGTGGAGCCAGAAATAAAGCTATGTTCAACTACTTATTCATAAACCTCTAAACTGAGCAATAGAATTAAAACATATCAAATTAAATCAATTTGTTAATTATAATTTATTAAAGGAGAGTAATTAGCGTTAGAAATGTAACCGTAAACAGTAAGTATATTAAGTAAATAATAGTAACACAAACATTATATTGAATCAGTAGTAAGAGTATAAATTTACACAATATTCAGAAATATCACTAACTGAAATGACCACAGCTTTAAGATATATTTAGGTGTCAGATTTTGCTGTCAAAATAAAGTGAAAACAAATAACGCTCACCATTATTTATACACAAGTGGTACAGAAATTTGAAAAGAGCAGGCACATGCACATGGCAACATGCATATGTTATGATCACTTGTACTATTTTGTCATTAGCCTTTCATTGTCTGACTCTCTATTGACATTCATTGCATGTTATAAAGTTATTGTTTTGCATGGTAGATACAAATTACACTCGCAAAAGTAAAACCAAGTATAAGTATTCTTTAACAATGTGACAATTGATATATTACCATTCTTCTCTATGGCACTGAAAATTAATGAGCACAAATGTGGAGCCTCATTTCCTCACATAATAAATGTTAAGATTTTAAGATTTTAAAGAAGATCATATTTCAGCAAAAGTTACTTTTTCTTTCTTTTTGTCTCATTTAATCTAATCTTTCTTTTCTGTCCATCCTTTGCCACTACATTCATACACAGACGAACGTGAACTTTGTTCAATTCTTTCAGTAATCATTTCTCAATCCTTCAGATGATTTCTTAAGGTGGAAAAGTTAGCGATGAGGAAGATGGACTCAAAGAAGTAGAAGACAGTGTGGGCGAGTTGGCAAGCAATGGCAGGTGGAATACAATGCAGCAAAGCATGATGGAATACATTTTAGGAACAAAATGCAGAATATTTTTTGAATGGCAAGAGACTGGAAAATTTTAAATTCAGGACAGAACCAGATGCCAAGTACGTGAATCACAGAGAGTTAATGTGCAGGTATATCAAGTAATTAGTATTATAGAGATGGACAGCCCAGAAGAAGGTGCCCCATAGAAGAAACAACTACTCTAATCCCATTTTCCAGCACTTGATACATAGCTTTGTATGTCTTGGTAATGCAAGTGCACATCGAACCAGCAGCAGATATCTTTCAGATGCCCTTCGAAAGTAATGACTCTTCTTCACAACTGATTGTATCTAGGAAAAATGATATTTATGTTGAATACTAGAAGTGGGGAACGAGGGGAAGGGAAAAGTGAAGAGAGTGAATAATAGCTGGAGATGGAGCCTGTACAGAAAAAGAACGGCAGTTGGGCAGACAAAGGAATGGATAATGCTGAGCAGGGAAGAAAGAAGAGCTGCTAACGGGAATCATCGGTGGGTGAAAATCGGTTGGCTGTGATAAAAGCAGCCAGGAACCATGCCCTCCAGAACGCCCTGATCCACTTCTCCACTTCTAACACCTCCTACACCCACACGGTACCTTTCCACGCGATCGCAGTTTACTTCCTCTCTCCTCAATATTGAAAGCCCCAAATCACACTTTCCAGGTAAAGCAGCAATTTCCCTGCACTTCACCCAATTTAGTTGACTGTATTTGCTGCTCACAATGTGGTCTCCTCTACAATAGGGAGATGAAACACAGACTGGGTTACTGCTTTGCAGAACATTTACATTCTACCCTCAGAAACAACCCTGAGCTTCTAGTTGCCTACCACTTCAACACACCACCTTGTTCCCTGGCCAACATTTGTCTTAGGCTTGCTGCAGTGTTTCAGTGAGCCTCAGTGCAAGCTGCAGGAACAACATCTCATTTTCCACTTGGGGACCCTGCAGCCTGCATGACTATATCAAGTTCAATAATTTTAGGGCCTGAATACCGCCTCCATGCTCTTACCACACCCCTATAACCCAGGTCTTGTCATCAAATGAGCTGCTTTCATTACAGTCAACCCATTTTCACCCACTGATGGTCCCCATTAGCAGCTCTTCTTTCTCCACAGCTCACCATTATCATTCCTTTGTCTATCTAACTGCTGTTCTCTCTCTCGCTCTCTGGGCTCCATATTATTCACTGCCTTCCCCTCCCTCCCATCCCCCAGTCTTTAGCATGAATACCATCTTTTCATAGCTACACTAAGTTCTGAAGAAGGGTCACTGGTCACGAAATGCTGACTCTGCTTTTTCTCCACAGATGCTGCCAGACTTGAAGTTCTCCACTAATTCCTCTTCTTATTGTAAACATCTGTATTTGTGTTAGAAATTTCTGAAATTTTTTAAACCAGGGAGTTTGGAAAACGAGATTTTTTCAGTTTTAGTTTCAGCTTGTGATAGTTCTGCAGACAGTGTCAACACTGAATTAATTTAGAGTAAGGCATCAGTAATAGTCCCAGAGAGTGTGTTTTGATAAACACTGACGTTATTCAAAGCGGAGAATATTTAAACCCTGTAGTACGGTAGTTCCAGGAAGAAGCTCTCAGACTTTACAGATTAGGAGTCAAAGTCAAGTTACATCATAAATAAAAATCTGGCTTATTCTATTTTAATTTCATTTCTTTTGCTTAATAAGTTTCTGCCTAATTGTTAAAAATCAAATATGCAGCATTGTATATTTATATTTCAGTGAGAGACGACCTCATTAAAATCAAAACAAAACAAAACAAAACATCATCTACCAAGCTAAATTTCAGCCTGAGATCGGACTCCTCCTGTTCAAAAATGTTATAGAAACATAGAAGATA